GGCCACATGACCACGGAAACGTCTTCGGACAGCGCTGGCTCTTCGGCTTTGAAACGGAGATGAGCACCGCAACCCTAGAGTCGGACTCGACTGGCTTTCGAGCAAGGGAACCTTTACCTTTACCTTTATGTCTTGTTGATTAAAAATTAACAACAATAACAATAATAATATAACTATATCCCACGAGTGAAAAAAAGCCCTGGGAGAAGGCAGAATGTATTTTTTTACATTTCATGTAACTAAGCAGACATGAAGTTGGTTCCCATAAGGTGCAGTATAATGCCTTAGACTTTGGAATCCAGTTGTGAGCAAAGTATGAATTCTAAAAGGATAACTGCATTAGTATGATCTAGCAAAAACCATCAGTTCTCCAGCACCTTTTACTTTATTATGGCAGACTTTCATGGCCTAAATAGGTCTAAAAGCTGACATATATAAGCAGGTATAAATTTTACACACACACCCCGAAACAGTTTCATGTAATGAGGCCAAAAGGACAAGAAAAAGACAGATATAATGGGCTGGGATGGCAGTGCTCCAGTGCTGTGCAAAGAACACACAAAACGGGGTTGCATTTACCTGTAACTGTTGTTCATCAAGTGGTCTTCTGTGCAGGCATACATTGGGACTGTGTGCGCGCAGGCCAGCCGTGGAAAAGATTTCCACAGCTTTCTAGTAGGCTATGAGCGCCCCTCCTCCCTCTGGCGCCCTCCCGCCAAAACGATCACATGACCAGGAGGAGGGGTGCTACTCCCTCAGTTCTCCCCATGCCATTGCCAGAGACCCCCAAGAAACGAAGGTTCTAGAGAGTTCACAATGGGGCAGGAGGAAGGGATGTGTGCCTGCACAAAAGACCACTCGATGATCAACTGTTACAGGTAAGTGCAACCCTGTTTTCATCATTGTGCCTTCTGTACAGTCCCACATTGGGACCTTAGCAAGCTCACTGAAGGAGGTGGGTGTGAAGCTCTCAAAGGAAGAGACCATCTAGGACCGCCTTCTCAAAAGTTGTTTGGCGTCCCATATTGACCTTCGCCCAGAACTGTCGTAAAGAAGCGGTGAGCTCTCGACAAGTGCCCCAACTAAAATACGCGATACAGGAATAGTTACTGCGATAGGTGCGCTAAACTAAATAATACAGTACTGCAAAAATCAGAAAATATATGCTATTTAAACAAGTTAAAGTGATAAGTAATATATGCTTTTTTTTCAAAGGTTGGAATACAAAAATACAGTCGGTTTCAAATAAACAGAAGTGGTTTTTAACGAAGCAAAAGATGTTAACGACGTGCTCTGGAATGTCCTGTGTCGTTTCGACGTTCCTTCTTCTGAACAAGATTGTATAGATAATTTCCAGTTTTTTTGTCTATTTGTGGAATCCATTTGATTGTAGCTTGCCCGAAATGAATTCTCTACTAGCAACTGTGCTTTGTTATTGACTTATGAAGAAAAAATATGTGAGCATCAGGCTTCATTTCTACTCTTATAGATGAGACAAAAACCTGGAAATTATCTATAAAATAGATGCACAACTATCCCCACACACACACACCCAGTGACTCCTGCTCCATGCCCAGAAGAGGGCAAAAAACCCTCCAGGATCCCTGGCCTGGAGAAAATTGCTTCCTGACCCCAAAGTGGTGATGGGCATTTCCCTGGTCGTGTGAGAAAGGGTCCAAAGTCAGTGGCACGCAATGAAAAAAACAGAAACAAACCAAAATGACATGATGCTCTGTTCTTACACTAGAGGAACATTTTGTTAAAAGGGAATTCCTACCTGTTTGACCTTTTAAGCCCGGAGATCCAGCCAAGCCTGGCAACCCCTTTTCACCCTTTTCTCCTGGTGTTCCTGGAATACCTTTAAAACACAGGTGCACACACAAGGTTTAATTTTATTGTCTGAGAACCTGGTAGTGTTAGCTCTAGCTTTAGTACACCATTTTTAGAAAAGGCTTTCAGTCGCTTACCGGGAACACCTGGAAGACCTTGCTGCCCTTTGGAACCTGGGAAACCAGGAGTACCTGGAAGTCCTAGGATACCCTTTTCACCTCTCTCCCCAGGTAGGCCTGGAACACCTGGCCTTCCTTGTTCTCCCTGCGGGGTAGAAGAATGCATAGTAAAATCAACATACTAGTAACAGCAGGACATTCCATGAACTATATGGCAGAGTGAGAAGGGGGGGGAATCACCTAGCAACAGAACAGCCAATGATAGCAGAGCTCAAACAACCAATAGTTCTGCGTCGGAAAGCAGAGAGTCAGTTAAGTAATGACAGTTGGGTTTATGGACAGTTGGAGGCAGGGTTGCCAGGCACATCTTTCTACGCTCCTTCTGCACCACCAATTACCCCCTTCCGAGGGCATTTCGCAGGAGAGAAGCAGGAGTGCTGTGTTGATTCGCACTGAGGGGCTGCTGGTGATGAGTGAGGAGCTCTAAGAGCCAGAGACAGAAGAGCAGAGACCAGACTGGAAAAGAGCTCTCTGAGTGGGCCCAGGGAAGGAACTAGGCTCAGAGAGCAAAGGGGACAGGAGAGCCAAGAAGCGGAGATCTGGCGGGAAGCAGGAAGGAAAGGCGCGGTTGTTAGGAAGAGGAGAGTGGGACTACATTTTACATAATAATTTAAAAAACAGCCCTGAAAATCTTTGGCTGTTCATTTCTTGTGACAAATACTAAATTGTATTCTAGTGTTAAAGAAGCCATTATTCGAGCCCTGTATATCTGCAGCACACATGTCAATTTCTATTGTACTGCTTTAAAAAAAAACAACCCATTGGCTTAGCTTGGCATGGGTCTTAAGTCCATTAAATTAGAAATAAATACATTTAGCAGACGATTCTGTCTATCATTTAGGATGCTGAGTATCACCACCACCATCATCACAACCTTTATTAGCACAGCAGTAACATCAAAGGAGAACTAACAATACAGTTTGCCAAATAGCCGAAGTAAAAGCAATGTAAATATAAATAACAATAGTGTCCCGGCCAGCGCCCAGCGGCTGCAAGAAAGGAGGGGCTGGCCTGGGACGTCGCCGGACTCACCCCAGGTCCCGGTGGAGACGGCAACTCCAGCAGCGGCCGGGAGGTGAGCAAGCAGAGCGGCGGAGTCCCGGCGAGAGAGACCAGCGCAGAGCGACCGGAGGCGCGGCAAAGCGGCGGCCGACGGGAACAAGCCCCAGCGGGGAGGGGGAAGGCCGACGCGGGCCAGCCAACGGCGCAGCAAGGCGGGGGCTGCAGGGGGCGATCCCCAAAGGGGAGGGAAGCGAGGGAAGAGAGGTGCGCGGTGATGGGACGAGCCCGCGTGCAGGCGGCCAGGGAGAGTCCCATGGCCCGCGGAAGCATGGGGGCGGGGCCGGCGGAAGCGGCTCGGCGTCTCTCTGTATAAAGGGGGGTGGGGCCGGGAGGCAGAGGAGGGGCTGGGAGCCGCGGGGGGAATAAAAGACGGAGCAAGGAGACGACCGAGGAGGACGCACCTGGGGCTGGCTAAAGACCAGATCGGCAGTGAGACGGGCATGGGTCTTGTGTTACCGGGCGTCCGGAGCTGACGCCAGAATCCCCCAGAGCGGGCAAGAGCGGCAGGCTGACCACTCTGCTTACCCCATGGTCTGAGGTCTACTCTCCTGCTCCTAGAAGGACCCGCCGTCGGCTCTCACCCTCACCGGGAAAGCCTGCAGGGGGTGTTCTGACCCCAGAAGGGGCACGGCCAGCAGGAGGTTAGCGACTGGCGCCCAGGCTGACCGCGACAAATAGTGTTGAACAACAATAATAGTAATAATAATAATAATAATTTTAAAAACCACAATAATCTCGAGTGTCACTAAGGTTAAAACCAATTATGGTGAATAAGCTTAACAAACAGAGAAGAGAAATGTTATAAAACATGGTTAGAGGGTATCGCTAAATGGAGGATCATGGATACCTTTTCACCAGGGGTCCCAGGGATGCCAATTCCAGGAAATCCAGCATCTCCTTTCTCCCCTTTCACACCTTTCTGTCCCGGAAACCCTGGTGTGCCCGGATCACCTGGAAGACCTTGCACACCCTTTTCTCCTGAGTGCCCTAAGGTAAAGGTTTATATGATATGATACGATATTCTTTGATACACATGAATTTTTCATCTGAATGTTCTGGGTACTACAACACAACAGAGTTGAAAAGTTAACCTCACCCTAAAGATGCCGGGCTGGCTATGACCAGGGCTACGACCTTTTTGGTGGCGGCTCCGTGCTGGTGGAACGAGCTCCCCGAGGATATCAGGGCCCTGCAGGATTTATTACAATTCCCCAGGGCCTGCAAGACAGAGCTCTTCCACCAGGCATTCGACTGAGGGGCCGCATTTAATAATTTAACACAGACTCAAGAGCCTTACCCTGGAATCCATCAGGGCCATTTGTGCCGTGCCTGTATTCAATATACTATGGGGCCTGGACAGTAGTTTTGCAGCCTTTGCTGATTGGACCCCTGCTACAATTATTATTAAAAACTATGCTTCGCCATCATATAGGTAATGTCTCTATATAGCACCTTATAAATGGTTTATAATTTTAACTCGTTTCTAACCTGTTTTTAACTTTCAATGTAAGCTGCCCTGAGCCTGCCTCGGCGGGGAGGAGGGGTATAAATCTAATAAAGGGACCGCCTCTTCCTATACACGCCTCAAAGAGCTTTACGCTCTAGGAATCAACATCTCCTGGCGGTCCCTGGCCCAAAAGACGTCCGTCTAGCCTCGACCAGGGCCAGGGCCTTCTCTGCCCTGG